TAACTTACAATCATCTACTAGTGTCGGTATTATAAAGAAGCCTGAGTTAAAAAGGAATTAAAAATATCGGGCGAAAACTAGCAATAAATATATATGTCTGATAGAGCAAGAGCAAAAAGAAGGTGACCAAACGTAAAAAGAAACGCATTTTATTCACTCAATTGACGGCTTATTTACAAAAAAACATTTTGCGCGAAGTTACGCAATGGATAACCAAAAACAGATTCCCGAATTTTGATGTAATTAGGCATACATTTACAACGAGCGTAACGAATCATTATGAATTTTCTTGGTTTTTTTCTTCTAATCGGACGTTGAGCATGCATAATCATTCATAAGAGCCCATCCCTTAGTTCGTTTATATACATTTATGTTGTGCCAGACCGCATTCAGACTAGTTTGGACAATGCTGCAATACTTGAGTCTTTTAGCTAGACATTTCATTTCAGCACAATGAGTACAGTTTTAACCTAAATTGCAATGAAAATTGAACTTTTTGACGGACAGTGAGGCATCTAACTGACCCTTCACGTCCACTTTCATGTAAATACTACGGACGTGTTAATAGCGTGGCTTGTAATAATACCCTTATTGTTGTGGTGCATTCCATTTTAGCAGAACCTCCACGTCCAACGAAGATTGGGAGTCACATCTATTATTCATGACCAGATGATTTTTAATTTAGAAGATATCAGTGCCGCGGCTGAATTCTACCTCATATCCAGTCAATTGGCGAAAGGCAGATTGGTACATTTAAGCGAAATTGTTTTCACTAACCTCTACGAAAGTTACGTGATGCAACATGGAACAATTACGAAATCGGCCAGCTTACAGTGGAAGCAGCATACGCTACACGCGCTAACCCATATCGCGACTGAAACAATGTCTAATTCGATGTCATCCGAGTGCATTGTGTAGTGTAGTTATGCATCCGAGAGATTAGTCATAGTAGCACTGCTTTATCGGAAAAACCATATGAATAAACATGTTGGCAGGGTTCCCTCTACTTTAATGTTGTCCCAAACGCCTCTACCATGAAGCCATTGAGCTTACATAAATCATCATTTGGAGAAGAGGGCATACACTTTTTACCATAAATGTTGACTTGATCAATGTATCTTTAAGTGTTCTGGAATTCAAGTCATCTGAGTTCACAAGAGTAAATATCGCGGACCATTTCCAACGTTATCATTTTCTTAAATGACGATTTTTGGCATTCAGGTTTTTGCTACCATTACTCACTATATAATTCTTTGGCAAACTATTATCCAAATAAAGCAACGGGTACTCCTCTTTTAAGTTTGGAGGCAAATGCAAGCAACGTCTATACATATGCTACATTTATGGAAGTCGCAATTACTCCACGAACGCCTATGTCAGTGACAGCGATCGGAATGGCATTTAGGCACTTATTCGGCATACGGGCGGTCGTGATGTCGCGTACCTGAAAGATTCGGCACATGTAGATTTTGACGTAAAAGTAGCCAAATCAAATACAGAAATTCAAAGCAAACACGATGTTGTCAATTATTTAACATACAGCACTCAAACATCTCAGGGGCATGAATGGAATCAGAAAAAAACATAGCGTAATACGAGTTTAAGGCAAAATATGACTTTACAGACGACACTGGAAATTTTTGACGCTTATAAACTAAATTGAGCAAAAAAGCTTCTCAGAGTTCAACTTAATACGTTCGCCTATATGATAGACCATGACAAATACGTAAACTGTTCTACATGGCAAGTCATCACTGAAATCGTTTGCGTGAAACAAATGACAGGTCTCGTATGAATCGGAAGCATTACTGCTATGTTAATCTGATAAGGAAGTTAGCAAGGCAGTGTGTTAATGTGCTTATGTTAGCCTTATACAAATTTGATCATTATGAGAGAATAAACTTTGTATATATGTGCGGATTTAAAACATTAGCATGTGCATTATGTTTCCTCTCACTGGAGAAATTTGAGACATAAATACGCATTTCTGGTCGTATGCAAGCAGATGTAAATCGGTTTGGTTATTTCACGGCAGATTCACTAGAGGATGTGATTCCAACTCTATAACAGCTCCTCAATGAAAACGGAATTGAACTAATATCACACCTACCACTTATTCAATGCGCAAACACGCACAATTTGCAAAGGACATAGGGAACTTTAGCACGCTAGCTGGAAGACCCTATTGAGAATGCATAAATCTCAACCGTTTTTATGCAGCCATTTTCACAGTTTTGCATAAAGGAAAGGGGCCCGTAGCAATGGCCTCTTTGTCAACGGTAGCAGATCGCCTTAGCATATGTTTTCCGTTTACTCTAAAATTAATACTGTCTTTATACAAAAAGCCACTGTTACCCATGAGTAAACATGCGATTCAAAACAGGCAGCATTTTGAGACGTCGTCAGATTATCGAAGCCATGAGTCTGTCCTGCCAACTCCACAACGGTCTCCTCACATTCGAAATACGAATTGAACCAATTTGTATGGTCAGTTTCATGTAGTAACGGGGAGTGCGGTAAGATGAAGGTAACCCCTTGGGGAAGCAAATCAGTACACATGAGGATTATGAAAACGTGCAAAATTGTGGATGTTATGATAACAATAGTGCTCAAAAATTCGTTTGCATTCCACAAAATGCAAAGATGTGACTAAAAGAAGTTCTCATAATGCATCTTTCAAACTTCCAGTGATTTTGGGTGCTACTGAACGCCAATATACCAAAAAAATTTCAGATATTTTCGTATTTTGATCCTGCCACACTTGACTAAATGTGGGCATGCAGGTAATGGCTACTGTGTCTGGCTGATAAAATGAGGTGATAGGTACATATGCGAACTCCGGTGCAAAATGATTAACGAGAATAAGCAAACTGGCTTATGCAAACAACTTTACTCTCGATAACTTAGATGTATGTTAAGTTCGTCATTGTATGATTTGTCCAGCCACATTGGAAGTGGCAGATTCTTAACCTGTACAAAAACCATGATCTGAGGCAATGGCTATATAGGGCATTGACTAGGCAAACGGAGGTCTTGGGCTGAAAAAGTCAGATGGATTTAAGTACATTAGCCAGCTCCTGTAATGTACGACCGGATGACGCATTTCCATTTTGCCGTTTCTGGCTGATTGTGAAGGTATACGTGTGTTTCATTGTTTCCAACCTTCACAGTTAGGTCCTTTGCACTGCATTATGACATAAAACAATAATTGAAGACTACGAGGTGAAGAACGTTGCGAATAAAATCTGAGAAGTGATCGGGGGGCCAAGCATAAACCGCTATGCAAGTAAGTAATGAAGTAGAATTTTTATTTCACATTTTGTGAGAATGGTTCTTGTCACGAGCAGTTATCAAGTTGGTTGGAATTTATTCACTGTCTGTAGAGTACTCATAACACTAAAGGACATGCTTCGTACCACTGACCATCCTGACGTAGGGGATTAAATGTTGTGCATATTTGAACCATGTTGCTACTTTTACCTGCTTATGAGAGAGGAGGAAGAGAGACATGACATATATTTTGATAATTTTTTGAAAATAGCCTATAATGTCTCATAGATTTTTGCGGTTTAAAACAAGACAATATCTGATATTGCTTGTATAATTTAAAAAAAACTCGTACACCTGGATTGCAAGACGCGATTACATTAACAATTATTAATTATAGATGTGCCTATTCACGAAACGCTAAACCATATTTTGGAATGTGTTTGTGATAAAAATGTACCACTTGAACTCATACGAGGTATTCTTAAAAACTTCAGTCACCATGAAATATCCGCTTTTTAACGACACTATGTAAAACCATGACGGCTTCTAACTTTGAATTTCTCACACTGATTTTCATGTATTTGGAAATAAAAATATAGTTTAAAGAATGCGTACTCGAAATTTGCAACGAAGAGGAACGTGGTTGACCGAACCTCTCTTCAAATACGCAAAGCATTTAAAAGCTTCCGAAGTGCTTATTAAGTGACTAATATGAATAACACACTACCATTTAAAACGTCTCCTGATAAACTGCCTAAATTGTGGCACGTAATTGCAAAGCTTGCGTGAAAAAATAAACTGCTTTGGAGTTGTCGACGAAAGGACGAATGGCGTATATGTAAGAATGCAGCAGTTGGTATTTAGAAGACTACTGAATGAGCATTTATTGGTTCCCCCCCCCACTGCCAATGCAGTTATATTCGAACGCAGTGCCGTCTAACATGTCATTGGTTAGATAATCGACAGAAATAAGTTTTAAAACACAGGCTTGGCAAGAGCGGAAGGATGCATATTGTTAGTCAACCTTTGAGCATCGTAAGCGCGGAGCATGAACAAGATTCTTCCAGGCGCATAGAGTCCGTTTTAAGTATCGGAATGCGGCCGTTTCTGCACTACAAATACCACAAAAAACGATTCAAAATTGATGCATTTATAATCTTTTATCGCAAAACGCTCAAATGTCCTGAGTAGACTTCTGAAATTTACATGTTTCAGATGTCTGCATTGTCCGTTGTCCGCCCTCCATGTATCCCGCATTTCTGCCCCGTTCGCACCTGCCCGTAACCGTGCTGACGGTGGTTGTCACGCGAGTTAAAGATGGGCATTTCCAGAATTCAATGCAATTGTATGACGATTCTGTTGGGAGTGCCTACACTCCCAAAAACAGGAGCAAACCAATCAATGGAGATCACGTGCGTTTGCTCTCTCTCTACCGCGCTGTCATCTCAATAAGGCGCTTTCCCATTGGCTACTCCCCTCTTCCCGAAGGTCATTGGACC